GCACGTGCCCTGACTGGGAATCGAACCGTGACCTCCTGGCTCATGGGCCGATGCTTAAACACTGAGCCTCACTGGCTGGGCTATAACAGTATGTTTAATGGCTGTGTTACATTTATGTTATGGCTGTGCTATAATTGCTTAAATCAAACCCTTTCACTTGGTCACGTAGATTATTTCCAGTTTCTTACAATGCTGTGGTAACCAGCCTTTAAAGCATGGTTATTGCTTTGGGATCTGTGCCTGCAAGTGCAATTTCTGGGTCACACATCCTTAAAATTTTGTGGAAAGTATGTTAACCATATTGTCCCGAAAGGTTGGGCCAATGAATGCTCCTGTGCACATAAATGTTACTTTTTGTACACTCTTTTCTACATTGGATATTAATAACAAACAAAAGGGCCTGGCCGGCATGGCTCTGTGGTTGAGCATCAACCTATGAACCAGGAGGTCATGGTTTGATACCCGGTCAGGGCACATGCCCAGATTGCAGGCTCGGTCCCCAGTGTGGGGCATGCAGGAGGCAGCTGATCAATGATTCTCTCTCATCATTGATGTTTCTTTCTCTCTCTCTCTCCCTCTTCCTTCCTCTCTGAAATCAATAAAAATATATTTAAAAACAAACACACAAACAAAAGAAACCTTCATTTGATAGGTTCTTATTATTTTCAGGTGCATTTCTTTGATGGTACTCTTTCCTGTATTTATGGTCCTGCTGTAGTTTTTATCCTTTCTTTCTGTCTCCTTTCCCATTAGGGCATTTATTTTTACTTACTAACTCATGTTTTAATTTCCATTTTTGTATGGTGTGATTTGATGTCTGGAAGTTTTAAATTTTGATTCTATTGGCAGGAAAAGGGCTTTTGAGAGCAAGTGTATTTCTGTCAAAAGCTTACTTTCTCCCCCTCTGTGGGACATTTAGTGTTCAGCAGGAAGGAAGAGGTTGCTGCTCAGTTTTATTTAATCATCTCAGAAGAGTTTTAAGTTATTAAAGCTTATACAACGTATTAAGAATCAAGACATTTCCGTATTTGCATTAGCTGTTTGAACAGTATGTCAAAGAGCTCAAATTAGTACTTTTATCCTAGAAAGTTTTCATTTTGGAGTTTGGTCTGTTTTACACTAAAACACATTAGAGGTGAGACAAGAGTTAAAATGGAGAAATGATTCATTATGTGTGAAATTTTTTGAAGACGGAGTAATTTGCATCCTCATCTATGAGGCATGCCTAGAGCTGGGGATGGAAACAATGACTGCTATAGGTCTAAGAAAGCTGATGGTTTTCTGATTCACAGACACCTACTGGGTCAAAAAGCCTCATGTTTTCACTGCAGTGTTGAAATTTCTTAGCCATATGTGGTATGGATACTTTGGATTTTCCATGTTGATATGTTTCTGGTACATGCTGCATTAAATTTATGTTACCAATATAAGTAGCAAGATTCAACTCCAAGCAAAGCTATTTCAGAAGCCAAGCAATGTTAACATCAGTTAGAGCCAGTGATTCTCAATATGGGGAGGGTGTATATCTTTCCTGGAAGGAATAAGATGGCTCCCATCATCCATTCATTCACAAATTTTTATTTTGTGCTTATTCAGAACTGTGTTTTTGTAAAAAAACACAAACGACGTTAGAAAGTGAAGATACAGCTGTATACAAGACATAACCCCTTAATTTGAAAGCAAAGTCGATTGCTTTGACTTGTTTTCATCATGATATGTTAACTTTGATTTTCATATAAGGCGGGAGTTCCCTCTGATGGCTCTTTTTCTCAGTGTCTGTGTGGCTCACTTCTTCACCTACTTCATTCAGGTCTCACTCAACTCATATGTCTCCCCAGAGAAGCCTTCCCAACCACCTTCTCTGAACCCCTTACCCTGACTTATTTTAGTTTATTCATGGCGTTTCATCACTGTAAGGCACGTTACATTACGTATCTATTTGTCGTCTGAACCTCCTCACTAGAATGTAAGGTCATGAAAAAAGGGTGATGCCAGTTTTGTTGATTGCTTCCCCCTCCATATGAAACAGAACATGGGATTAGCAGGAATGCAATACATATTTGTTAATTCACTGAGCATTCGCATGCCTACGAAGTGGTTGGCATTGTAGGTGGTGATATGTGCTATGAAGAGAAATAAAGCAGATTAAAGAGTTCTTAAAAATGTCCATCTTCAGAGGGCTTGGGTTACAGAAGGTGGAAAGACACTGATTAGGCAGCCTGTCTCCCCTTTCTCTCTCCTGAGTGTCTTTGAGTCTTTCCCTGTCCTCTCTCTTCTAGCCATGTCGTAGCCACTCTGTCAGCTGTGCTGGGACTTTCTAAGGAGTGACAGTGCATTCTTTTCGTGCCTTACTCCATGTGACCTTCCCACTTGAGTGCATGAACGCCCAGATGTGGTCAACTCTTGAGCTTTGTATTTCCCAGACTCCCAGGTAACATGCCTTGGAGTGGCCTGCTCCTCCCAGTAGTAGCCAAAGGCTGCCTGAGGGTTTGAGAGATAATCAAAGGTCAGTGAGAGTTCCAGGGTGCTTTTCTTATAGTTTTCATTTTCTGCTTTAGTAATCACATGATTCTGAGCTTAAATTCTTTGAGAGATGCCTCATAGAAAGATGGAAAAGTTTTTTAAAAATTAGAGTGCTTTATGTCAGACCTTCTTTTCCCTCAGTTGTCTCCATGGCTTGACATTCAAACCTTCCAGGCTCTTGGTCAGTGTCTCTCAAAGGGGGAGGGGTAGCTCCTGAACAGGATAGATGAGGGGCTGCTTTTGGTTGTCACCATGCCTGGATTTGAGGACCTGCTGATAGGGATTCCCCACATCCTGCAGTGCAGAAGGCAGCTGTGTCCAAGGTAGATCGCCCTGCCCGAATGCCAGTGGTGCTCCCATTCGTGGCCCCTGGAGGTACTTTAGAAACTTGTGGGATGTTGTCAGTTTTCACAGCATTAAGGGTGCTTTGCTGCTGGCAGTTAGTGGGCGGGGCCAAGGATGCTGGAAGTCCTGCAGTTGCCCACCACGGAGAATTGCCCCACATCCCACTCACCCTTCCAGTGTCCACCAGGCAACAAAAGTGAAAAACCCCATTGATAATTATCAGAGCCTCCAACCAACTCTGTGATCAAAAGGTGTTTTCGACACAGTTTAAATGAATAAGGGTCAGTATTTTGTTTTCTTCTGGACTTTACCAGAAGTCGCTGCCCACATTGGCACCATTCCTTGTGGTTTGTAACTGGCGTACCCGTCTCCATGTTGGCTTTGTAGTGACTGCAGTATAGGGGCAAGGATCTGACCACTTCATTGTCTTCTACAGATCTCGTGCCTGAAAATGTACATATTGTAATGTATATTATGCCATTATAAATGATTTCCCTTTTATTTCTCCTTTATACCGAAGCTTGGTCACAACTTTAATTTAGAACAATTATATGTAGATTAGGTTATATTATCTGTGATTTTCATGACAGGATTCTAAAGGGGGCATGGAGTCTGGTGAGGTTGAAAATCTTCACTCTAACCTAACTTGACAGACATATTTCTCACCAATTTTCTACATGAACTCTGTTTCAACCAAAGTGATTTGTTCTGTGTCTCACAGTTTCTTTTCATCCAGGTATGCCTTCAACTGCTCCTGGTCCTTCAAGTCCCTTCCATCTCCACCTCTACAAATCCCCCCTTTGGAACCCCATTCCCCTGGCAGCCTTGTGTGTGAGATCATCATTCTTCCACCACCGCAGTTCTGTGACTCCCTTCCCTCCCTCCCTTCCTCTCTCCCTCCCTCCCTCCTTTCCTTTCTTTCTTTTTGAACTACTATGGCACTTGTAAGAACTTCTCATTCAACTCTTGTCTACAGCCTGGTAGTATTATATATCTTTTTTGGGGTCAAAGTTATCTCCTCGAATAGCTTGTAAGCTCCTTTCAGATGGTCAACTTGATTTAGTCTCTCCCCCGCTCCCCCCTCCTCCGCCCCCCAGCAGTGTCTAGGAATGTATATATAGCCAGCTCTCTCTCATGGGCTAGGCGTTCTTGTTTTCTTCCTTTCTCAAACAGGAATCCTTTCCTGCCTGTCATGTTGCTAATTACAAAAGTAAAACATAGTTATTGTTTAGACATTTTTAGATATGGAAAAGTAAAAGAAGAAAAGATTCATCATCATTGATCTATTACCCAGAGCCACGCATGGCTTATCATTTTATTTATTTTTTATTTTTTTCAAAAGACATTTTTATTGATCTCAAAGATGAAAGGAAAGGGAGCGATAGAAACATCAATGATGAGAGAGAATCATTGACCGCTGCCTCCTGCATGCCCCACACTGGGGATGGAGCCCGCAACCCGGGCATGTGCCCTGACTGGGAATCGAACCGTGATCTCCTAGTTCATAGGTCAATGCTCAACCACTGAGCCACACTGGCGGGGCCATTGCTTATCATTTTAGAGCATTTCCTCCCAGCTGTCTTCTCTGTGTATATGTGCATGGTTAACAAAATCAGAATCTTGTCCTTATTATAGTTTGTACTTTGCTCCCCCAGCCCATTTCACTTAATGTTTTATGATGAGCATTTTCCTGTGTTACTAATTTTAGAAAATATATTTATGTAAAACATGTTTTATGGAAAATTGTAGACATACAAAAATTAGAATAATATAATAAACTCCTAGATACCCAACATTTCTTTAGCTTCAGTAATTATCAGTATTCTGCCATTCTGAATATGTGGTTTATAATGGATGCATACTCTTCTGTTCTTTGGATACATAATTTATTTAACCATTTTTCTGTTATTGAAAATTTAGATGATGTCTAGTTTTCTATAATGAAATATGCTTATGTTTTTATCCTTCTGGTCATAATTATTATTCTTGCTTCCTGGAGAACCCAATTAATTTCTTCATGATTAAGTAATTCTGATTATTACTTTTATATTCTAGGAGTTTTACTGTAGTTCATATCTGTGGCTGGTTTCATTGTCATTTTTGTTTTCTTCATCCATCAAGTATTTCTTGTATTAGCCAGAATGGGTCTCAAATGAATTGCAGTAACAAGTCATGCTTTTCTATTCATTTTTTTAAGAGAAAATAACCAACCCTTGAAAAACTGGCAATGTAAGAGGATGGTGTTTGCTCTCTAGATAATTGAAGGGGCAATCACAAGAAGAAAAGAGAAAAGGATTTCAGGAGAAACAATATCTGGTAAATTATAATCTTTGCCCAATGGAAACTATTTCACGAATGCTTAATTTTGATTGAAAATGGCCTCTTCTTAAAGGCTGAAGGAGACCATCTCAAGTAAGGGGTACTTGAACCATCAGCATGTACATGTTTTTCTCCAGCTGAATAAAGCTTATATTTTAATAAACACATTTGCTATTTAAAAACAAAACCCAGCATCTTTAAGTGAAGAGGTCCTGTATGCAGCTTCCCTTTTAAAGAGGTATCTCAGGCAATAGAGAGAGATGGTTTGCTTCCATCTGGCCCCATGAGCCATAAGAGGATGAGTGAGGGGGAGACTCAGATGGGCAGTGGCATTATGGGTTCTCTGGGAAAACGAAGTGAGGATTACTGTGCCTTCGTTCTGCTAGGATTTCTTCTGCAGTATCTGCTGAGATTTCTCGACCAGATCCTGTACAGGAAGATGACTCATGTGCTACCTACTCTAAGAATATATGTCTTTGTTTCTTCTCTTACAAAGTAAAATATGGTTGCCATAGATTTTCAGAGATTTATAATAGAGATTCAGAACATAGAAAGCAAAAGTCTCCCGTAACCCACACCCCTCCCTACTAGGCGACTGCTGTTGCTGTGCTCTATATGCCCATCTTGGTTTTCTCTATGCCCATATTAACATATGTTATCTGAATAACGGACAGAACAAAAATGCTACCTTTCCAAGTGCCAGTGTAATCAGTTTCTCCTGGTTAAAGGTAAAATGATAAGTACAGACAACAGGACAGAACTGGCAGGTATGGGAAATGGCAGCAGGAGGGAAAGCTGAAGGAAAGGAAGGAGTAAGAGCCGCAATTTTTATTATTCAGAGGTTAGATTTTTATCACTGAATCAGATTTAATTGGTGGTTGTACTTTTTCCCTGGGGAACACATTAAAATAGTCATTATGACAAGATGACTAAGTCATGAATGAATTTAAAATATGTAACTAGTCTCAGCCCTACTAACATACCAGCAGCTTGTGGGAGCCTACTTTTTGCATTAGAATTTAAGGGACAGGAGTGTGCGTTGCTAATGTGAGGACGTTTTTCTTTTCATTTTGGGAACACTACGAATCATGCATTTTATAAGGCCTACGATTTCCAGTAACCATGAATGATTACTTGTGTTGCTTACAATAACAGGTACTTAAATAATGAAGACAGTAGAATTTTTCTGTGTGAAATCCCACTTTGTTCATTAAAACACCTACTGTAGGGCATGAGCTATACTCAGTATCAAAGGCACAAACTTGTAAAATTGCTGCTGTCGCTGTCTGGTGTTTGGCACATGCTTTCCCATCCATCTGGAATGCCTCCTTCTCTCCCATCTAATGACACATCTCTCATCCTCTGTAGACTGACTTAGCAGATCCCTCACTGATGTGCTTCTCGCATTTGAACTATCTTCACTGAAGTGTCATCTCATTGTCTTACGTACACAATAGCATAGATGTTGAGTTGCTTGAGGTCAGGGTCCTCCTATTTGTCATAGCCACAGAGTAAAAATGGGTACCTGGCTGGTGCTAAATATCTAGAGAGCTATAGATATGTAGATAGACATTTGTTGAATAAGTGATTACATGAACTAATCATTCAGTAATGGTGATTAAAATCGTTACATTTCTCACTACAATACAAGGAGTCAAGAACAGTCTTAAGAGGCGTACAGGTGTAGTGTAATGTCCCTCCTAATGTAGACTGTTAGTGCCAGATAATTGGATATTTAGGTATTTGGATTAAGCAGGGCATCTAAAAGTGTTTAGTGGGGTTAAATGGGAGGAAAAGCTTTAATATAACATCTTAATGGCCCACCTCATTCAAAATTATTAAAAATTTGTTAACTGTCTTATGAGGGCATTTCAGGAAAATATAAGATAAAGGTCTTTGCCTCATGGAGCACACATGTTTTCCAAATTGTATTTTTAGTGGGAGGATACTGGTTTTTTGCCTTCCATGTTAACCATTCCAGTGTGGGACTGCTAAGCTACGGATTTTAGTCATTCAGAACTGTGATTTAGAAATTAGAGTTCAGGTAAGGTTCAAGAAATAGTATCTTTTCAACCTAGAAAAAATAGGGTCACGGGAGCCTCACCTAGCAGATCTCTTTCCTAGTGGAATTAGGCTCCCAGGTCTAGAAGGGAGGGATCATGATCTTCCTATTTAGGATCAGAATTAGATCATGGTATGTGATGTGGGAAGATGTATCAATTCGGTCCTGGCAGGAGAGAGGGGTAATGGGGGAAAGAAAAGGACCGTTAACAAAGCTGAGGACGGGGGTCAGAGAAATCAGCAAACTTGGCAGAGTTAACTACAGAAAGCCATTACCGCTCCTTAGCCCTAAGGAGACAGGGAAAGGGAGAGTCTCTTGGAACCTTGTAAGGGGTTTAGCTGCAGGAAAGGGCCACCTGGTGGGAGCTGAGGCCTTTGGGGGAATAGTGCAGTCACCTGGCAAAGCGGCCTGGCAGGGCAGGAGCCCAGGGGATAAACACCCCAACCTTTCTCTCTGCCCTCTCCTCAGTTTCCTGCAGGTCATTGATTGGATGACTCCAATGAACCCCAGAGAGCAGGATACTAAGACATGCAGTCTGAGGAGGCTGGCCTTCTGGGGCCCAGGGCAGGGTGAGGAGGGGAGAGAGTGGATCTGAGGAGCAATTGGACAATATCCAGCCAAAAAAGACACTCTTGGTTATGAAAAGTAGCCTTCCTGTTCATAGTATTCCTGTGTCCATTGAGGGGTTAAGTGGTAACCTCATTCGTTAGGATTGACTTCTAAATCAGATACCCTGAAAGGGAGCCCCATGCAGAAGTGTTTTGTTTGGCTTACACAGCATTTTTGTAAACAAACCAACTAAACAACAACAACAAAAATACTCCTATATTGTCTTTGGGGAGATTGACTTCAAAAATCTGAGTTTCATTCCTCTTTTAACAAATGGAAATTGGCAGCACTGAACATGTACCGTATTACTATGTGAGAACAATCTGCTGGACTTAGTAGGAGCTGCTCCTTTAAACAGACAGGAACTCTTCACTTTGCCTCAATCCCCACCACTCCCTCCTAACCCACACTGCTTCTGCCTGATCCCTTTAGATATTCCAGTTTGTGGCCTCAACAAAGCACTTTAGAGGAGGAAGGACAGATGAGTCACACTTAATCTAGAAAGAGAATGAGTTCTTTCTTGGAAGGTGTACTTCTCCACAAAGGGAATAGAGACTAATCTGGTCCCTGGGGCCACAGTCTGAATGTTTGTTAGACTAGCGAGGAGAAAGCTTTGCATAGATAAATGAAGTTCAGTTTGAATCTTTAGGTCAGTCTCTAAGTTTACCTTTAAACTTTTCGTTCTTGTCCACAGAGCAAAGATTATTGGATGGATTATGTTTCCAGCTTATTCCTTATTTCAGAGCAAGGGCATGCTAGGGAGAGAGGAAGGCTGAAGTGGGTCAGAGCGGACTTTGAGCAAGAAGGGAAATGAGGATGTGCAAATGGGGAGAGCAGCCTTTTCACTCTTTGGTCCCCTCTTTCTCTAATGAGAGAGAGGACATTTTCTAACTTGTTGCCTTGTCCCTTCACGAGAGCTGAGTCTCAGAATTCTCCTGTCCTTAAGCCCAAAGGTTGTCTAGCTATGTTATTTTTAAAAATTGTGTAACTATCTATAATAATAAAAGTGTAATATGCTAATTAGACCGGACAGCTGAACGACCTTCTGGATGTCATTCCGGATGTCCTTCTGGATGAAGCTGCCACGGCAAGGTCTGAGGCAGAGGTGGTTAGGGGGCAATCAGGCAGGCAGGTGAGCAGTTAGGGGTGATCAGGCAGGCAGGTGAGTGGTTAGGGGCGGTCAGGCAGGCATGCAGAGTGGTTAGGGGTGATCAGGCTGGCAGGCAAGTGGTTAGGAGCGTTCAGGCAGGCAGGCCAGTGGTTAGGGGCGATCATGCAGGCAAGCAGTTAGGAGCCAGCGGTCCCGGATGTCCGAGAGGGATGTCCGACTGCCAGTTTAGGCCTGATCCCGCAGGGATCTGGCAGTCGGACATCCTCCCGAGAGGTCCAGGATTGCAAGACGGTGCAGGCCAGGCTGAGGGACCCCGCCACCCCCCGTGCATGAATTTCGTGCACCAGGCCTCTAGTACATAATATAAAATTTACCATTTTCTCCATTTTTAAATGTACAGTTCAGTGGCATTAAGTGTATTCATATTGTGCAGCCATCACCACCATCCATCCATCTCCAGAACGCTTCATCTTCCCAAACGGAAACTGTAGGCGATGAACACATACTTCCTTCCCATTCCCCTCCACCCCAGCCCTAGGCAACCAGCATTCTACTGCCTGTCTCTATGAATTTGACCACTCTAGGCACCTCATATAGCTGGAATCATGCAATATTTGTTCTTTTGTGTCTGGTTTATTCCATCTGGCACAGTGTCTTCAAGGTGTATCCATGTTGTAGCAGATACCAGGATTGCCTTCCTTTTTAAGACTGAACAATATTCCATTGTTTGTAGTATATCCCGGTTTGTTCATTCTTCATTCAGCTATCAGAATTTGGGTTGTTTCCACCTTTTGGCAATTGTGAGTCATGCTGCTGTGAACATAGGTACACAAATATCCATTCAAGTCTCTGCTATCAGTTACTTTCAAATATTACATAACTAGTCCCACACAGACTGTAGAAAACTTGGAAGATACAGGTTAAAACAAGCAAGTAAACAAACAAACAAACAAGCAAGCTATGGGTGACCTTAGTATCAAGGACGATGGTAATGACAATAGCATGTGTGTGGCCCTCACTATGTGTCAGTCCCTCTGCTAAATAAGTGCTTTACCTGTTTATACGTAATAATGGCTCTATGAGGTGGGCACTATTGTTCTCCTCATTACAGATGAGAAAAGGGAAGCACAAACAAGGTTAAAAGCTAGAGAGTGCCACCACCAGGGTTTGAACTCAGGCAGTCTAGTTTCAGAGTCGTTGCCTCGCATGACTGTT